TCTTTAAGGTCCCTTCCAACACAAACCGTTCTGTGATTCTGTGAAACAGGATGTTCTCAGAGAGCTTGGAGACTCGGGAAACTAGACCCCCCTCTACATCAGGGGTGCAGGTGGGATCTGCTCAGTGTCTCACAATAAGTTAGAAGTCAATAAAAGAGGAAGACTGCAAACTGGTCACTCTCCAAATAAGGAGGAATATTCCTGTCCCTCCTAAAGACTTGATGATAACAATGCCAGACAGGATCACCCGGGAGAAGCAGCGAGCGGTTCCAGTGGGTGACTGCACCTGACAGGTTGTCCAGGGAAATTTATTGCCTTCCAGGGGCTGGAATCAGAGATGGCATGGAAAGACTGCCAAGAGAGCTGAAAGGTCAAGATAAAGTTCAGGAGATTACTGATTACTGTTGCGGAAAAACGAACAAAAAAAAATTATTGACAGTTAAAATAATAAAATAGTAGTAAAAACCCAAGATAAACATGAAACAAACATCTTTTCTCTCCCATTTTACTGCAAGGGATTACCTGCTCTGCCATGGAGCCCCCCCCTCCTTATCCTTCTCTGACCTTGGTGGGGTTTTTCCCTATCCTCTCTCTATCAGGTGTTTTTTACCCTTTCCTAAATAAGTTTCTCCAGTGGTACCAGTTGCTTCACTGACGGGCTCAGCCATGTCCTGTGGTGGGTGGTGGTGGAGCCACCTGGAAAGGGCCTGGGGCAGCCCTGACCTCCTCCTGCAGAGGCCCTTGTAGAACCTACCACTAATTAGTGATTTTTTTAAATTATTATTTTTTTTTGTTGTTGTCTTAGACTGTAGCCTGTTCTTTAGGGGCTTTTTGTTTTATCAGATACATCTGGAAAGCCCAGTGAATCCAAAGCTTGTTCAGAGGGTGTGGGTGGTGCTGTGTCTTCTTTGTGGGTGGGTAGGTTGGTTTTAGATGCTCCTAAGGAATCTCCTCTGTTAGAAGTTTGCTGTCCTCATCAGATGTAATGAGGCATTTTGTTCCAAAATGTTCTGTGAAAAGTAGTTTGAGCTTCTTTTTGCATGAAATGTGTCCTGAAGTTGGGTATAGTTGGGATAACTGTTTTCCCAAGTTTGCACAGCAGATTTTTTTTTGGTAAACCGCTGACCTGTAAGTTTGAAATTTCAGGATTCAGCATTTTTTTACATCATCCTTGCAAAGTGAAAGATAGTTTTCTGTGAAGATGTGACATCGGGGCACCAGCAGTGGCCTACTTTAAAGAAAAATTGGAAAGGATTTGAGATTTTATGACAAATCATGAGGCACTGGTGCAAAAAATTGTGGAAAATGCTCGTATGTGAGAACAGGGTGGATTCAGGAATATGACAGAAAAACTTGGGCCTTTTGAAAGACAGAAATCATAGAATCATAGAATTTTAAGGGGTTGGATTGGACCTTAAAAATCATCTAGTCCCAACCCCCCCTTGCCCTGTGCAGGGACATCTCCCACCAGACCAGGTTGCTCAAGGCCTTATCCAAGCTATCCAAATATTTGCAACTAATGGCACAATTACTTCTAAAACCTTTTTTTCTTTTTTTTTGGTACTGTTATATTTAATCTAGTGTGTGTTCTGCTAAATAAGGTTTGTTGAATTTGGTTTCGGAGACCCTTAGGAAAAATTTGGGTGCTTTAGGGTTGCCTAGTGAATATTGTAACCTCTCAACGCTGCGGTGGATCAGCAGAATTGATCCATGTGAACTAAACTGTCCTTCTGCTTTGATTATTTTGTGTGTATGTGTGGATTTAGGTTGGTTGGGGTTTTTTGAGGGGTTGCTTTCTGGTTTGTTTGTTTGGTTGGTTTTTTTTTTTGTGACTGTGTCTTTGAGAAGGTACCCACAGTGGTATAGGACAGAGAAATCCACAACATAACCTTTTGGTTAAAAGGGTAAGATTCCACAGAAGTAAACAAAAATTAACTATCCCTCTTTCTGCTAAACTGTGTAGGTCTGGCCCTGTGATCAGGGGATGTGGGGTGGTCTCTGAAAGGAGAACTGTCAGCCCAAAGGCTGGGCCAAACCAGTTAGAGCCATATAAACCTGTTAAAGCCATATTTAATTCAGTGAATTGAGTTGTAAATCTGATGAATTTAGTGCTTAACCTTGAGGCACCTGCTGTGGGGTTTTCCTTATTAGCAGAGGTCTGAAGAAGGAACTGTATTTTTTTATTTGCTGGATATTTAGAAGTCAGGTGCAGGTTTGTTCTGTTTTAGAAGCTGTTTCATACCCTGTGGAGAGATGTACAGAAGGAGTTGTGCCATGGGACAGGGGGCCTTCTTGCCTTGTAGTGTCCAGTATGATATTTTTGGTTTCCTGGTGACATTTTACTTTGTCACTACATGCCAATAAAAAGGCCAGTCCTGTGCTGGAGTACACAGATGCAAAGATACACAAAGATAAACAAAGATAGACTGGTAATCAGAGGAGTTTTGCAAATGAGGGTTTTTTTTTTTCCCCACTGTGTTACAAGAACTGCCATGAAACAGGCAAAGGAAACTTTAGGAATTAGAGTGGGTCGTTATGCCCTGCTACTGGATCACTAACCAGCTATTCCAGGTGAACTCGTGAGGAATTGCTGTCAGGAAGGCCCATGTGTTGGTCAGTTTATGAGCTGGCACAGCAAAACCAAATCTACCAAACAAGTCCAGTGCTCCTCTCCAACCGGAATCCCTGACATCCACAGGACAAACGGGGTGATGAAATGATTGTTGACAATCCTAATCTGCCACCTCAGTGTTGTTGTAATAATAATAATAATAATAATGATCATCATCAGGATCTTTTTTAGCAAGCGGTGTTCTTGAAAAGGGTGGGATTCTCCTTGCTGGTTTTAACTGACTTTCTCTAAAGTGGGTCGGGTTGGCTCTCTGTTGGCGTTCAAGCTGATCTCTTCCTTATAGGCTGTTTGGGTTTCTCTCTCTGGTGTTTGTCCTAAAACTCCCTTTTCACGTCAGTTCTGCATCTTGCAGTCATTCCTACCCATCTTTGCATGTACAGGAGCGATCCAGGGAGACCTCAGCCTCACAAAACCAGGGCACAACGTCTCCAGAGCTCTGGGAATGCTGCTCTACTATTTTTGGAACCAGCTCCTATTGCTTCTATAATAGGAAGGCTTCTGGAAGCTTTCTCCTTACTCTCGTCCCGAGGAAGTAGCCCTTCAGCTGAGCTTTCATTAATTCAGGATCTGCACGGCAAAAAGCAAATCTAGTTTTATACTCTAAATAATTCAGGCGTGGCTGGGGGGGGGGGTCACATGGCCCTGAGTGTGGTGTGTTCAGTGGGTGGTTTTGCCCACACCCCGTATCCCGAGGCCGCAGCAGCCGCGGCTGGTTCGGGGTGCTCGGCCACCCCCCGTTTGTCATTCGGGGCACGCGGCAGCGGCGGGCAGTGCCAAGGCAGCTTTCTAGAAAGCAGAGGGACGTGTGATCTGGGGGTGGTGGTGGTGTAGGGGGGGTGTTTGTCACCAGCGCTGCCCAGTGAGGGATTTACTGGTTTTGTTTTCCTCTTGGATCGAGCAGGACAAATCTAATGAGCCAGTTCTTAACTTCTTCCCCGTTGAGCAGCGGGTGATGTCCTTACCCAAATCGTGCGAGACAGCTGAAACCTTTCAGGAATAGTTGAACAAGGGAAACACTTGTAATATTATTTTTTTTTCCAGTACTCAAAATACAGAGTTAAGAGGGTGCAGCAGAGCTTGTCTTTCCTTTATTTTCTCTTTCCCTTCTGAGATTTCCCTTTTGAGGGGGCGACTTAGTCCTTCCAACGCTTACCCCACCTAGAGAGAAGGCAGGATTGCTACGAATGCGAAGCCTTTCATTCTTCATTGACATGATCTTGGAAGGAAGACAGGTTCTCCCTGTAGTGCTTCATTAGAATAAGCATTTCATATGCTTATCAGTACAGCAAGTAGCGCTGCTTGACAGCAGTGGAGAGTCAAATGTTGCCTTGGAGCCCTACACGCTCATTTCCCCGCTTCCGAAACACTCTGCATTCTGCCCACTGTGCATTCAGAAGCGTTCCTTTCCACTGCCTTGAAAGAAGCTAAAAACCACTTTGTAGCAGGCACCTTTTCCAGCACGATTCCAGGTGTGGATTGGAGTTGGCTGAATCCAGGCTGAGTTGCTGAGAACTTCATCCTGCCGGGCTTTGTGAGTTCCTGCTAGGTCTTGGGGGTAAGTGGGTCAGGGAGCTGACCACTTCTGGGTTAATTCTCTCCTACTTTCAGCTCCCTGAGCTGCTTCAGGTGAGAAATCAAGTGGGAAACCAGTGCTGATAAAGGGAAAGGTGTGAATGAGCTGGGAGGAAAAGAGGGATGAGACCTCAGCATGGCAGGAATTACAGTGACTGGAACAGCCATGGGGCTGCACAGTGTTTTGGAGCATCCGTGTGTTCCCTGCTGACATGGATGTCCAAGCTCAAATTTAGAAGAGAATCACAGAATTATTAGGGTTGGAAGGGACCTCTGGTTACACAGGAACGTGTCCAGAGAGGAATGTCTCCAGAGAGGGAAAATCCACGACCTCCCTGGGCAGCCTGTTCCAGTGCTCTGCCACCCTAAATGTAAAGAAGTTCTCCCTCATGTTGAGGTGGAACTTTTTGTGTTTTAATTTATGGTCATTGCTCCTCATCCTGTTGCTGGGAACCAATGAAAAGAGTCTGGCACCATCATCTTGACACCCACCTTTGAGATATTTATGTGCATTGATGAGATCCCTTCTCAGTCTTCTCCAGACTAAACAGGACCAGCTCTTGCAGTCTTTCCTCATAAGAGAGATGCTCCAGACCCCAGATCATCTTTGTGACCTCCACTGATTCCCCTTATGTGGGAATCTTCAGATTTCAGTTCAGTAGCTGCTCTGTCTGGTGTGATCCAGGGTACAGAGTATGGATGGGAGTGAGGGAAGGGCTGGAGTAAATTTGGTGGTTAAATGAGCCAAGGCAATGGTAACAGGGTCTTGCTTTACCACCTCTGGTTCCTGGTGCCATCAGTTGGTTTTGGTGTGTGAGTGGACACAGGAAGCTCCCCTACATTTATTCCAGCTGGAGCCCCTATGGCAGCTTTATTGGTTTTTAGATTAGATAACATCAGATCTGTGCAACTTTATCCTTTTTGACCATCAAACAGTGGGGAAGCTGAGCACACAAGCCAAATTATGTCTGTGTTGGCTCCTTTAGTGTCAAAAGGCAGGTCTTTAAGCTGTTTTAAATAGGAAGATATTACATGAAGGATGGTTAAAAGGGAAGGGTTGTGTTCCTATAGGTGTCTGAGAGGCTGAGTATGAGGATTTGGTGTATCATCTTGCTGTGCAGCCTAGTCTGGGAGCTGCTGTGGATTGGTCCCAGTGGGAGTATGGGATGAGGAAAAGCTTTCTGCCAAAGCTTCTTGCTTAGGAAATTCTGGTGCTGTTATAGGTGTCCTGGCGGGTGTTTGAGAGGGAGGGAGGGATGACTAGGCTGGGAAATGGCAGATTGCCTGTCTGGTGAAATATAGTTTTAGAGGCAAGTATCATGTAACAACCTAAACTTGAGCTCAGTGGTGGGGGAATGGACTTGGAACTCGGTTCTTGCAAGAAAACAAAACTCTATATCTTTATAATAAGGCCTCAGCACTGTGTTGTTTTTTTTCCCCACCATCATAATGACTGTTTCTTGGTATTAACTCCCCTGAGTTCCCCTCTGAAACACTTGCTGCTGCTTTGTCCTGCATCCTGGCTGTGCTGCTGCTCTTTGCCCAGCTCGTCCGGTGCCATGTCCCTGTGGAGCATCCTTGTGTGGAGGTGGGGTGGTCAAATGTGTTTTCACACGTGTTTTTACCAGCAGGGTGATTGCTGCTCAGATCCAGTCCGGAGGCCACGGCCTCCTTTCTAGAAAGTAAATTTTCTGAGAGGATGTGCCCACCCTTTGAACTCCTTTGTTGATGGGTTACTGTTGCTACAGCTAAAACACACTTGTTCTTGCGGTGAAGCTTTAGTTCAAAATATCAAAAGCTTTAGTGCTCTACAGATGAGGAGACCTTGACCCCCCCCTTCATCCACTCTGGCTGAGTTAATACATTTGTTTTCCCGAGCTGCAGCAGCATTCAAACCTGACGATAAGACGGGGAATTCTGTGGGACCGAACTGCCGTCCGTGGCTGGGAGGATGTGATGCTTTACTGCTGCCAAAATCCGAGTCCTTCCCACATCTTGTGTACGGAGGCATATGTTTGGGGGTGGCTTCAGAAAGGGAGAACAACACCATTATGTTTTTAACTTCCTCTCCTGTTTTGTTTCTCTGTGCATCTGTATTTCAGTTTTTCTCTGTGCAAAACTAGCAAATCGGCTGAAGCACCTACTGCTAAAGATCAGCCTTGGTACAGAAACAGTGGTAATTAAAAGGCAGTAAGTATCTTTGCTAGCTTGGATGCTGATTTTTTTTTTTAATTATTTTCCTTCTTTTTTTCCTTTTTTTTTTTTTTTTTTTTTAATTCACAAGCGCAGCTTTTTACTCCTCACACAGTAGGAATTTGTCAGGGGCTTGCTGGCATTAATAGTCTATTTCAGCTCTTTTCTATGGCCCAGCAGCTATAGAGGAGGGGAAAAAGCATGCTTTGTATGGAGCTGTGGTTGGAGCTGTGCTGCAGTGCCCATCTGAAGTTGGCTGTGTCTATTTTGCCAGCTTTTGCCTCCCTCTAGTAGGTGCTGGTCCCTTCCTAAGCACATGACATCCCACTGTATGATTCCTGTGCTTGGATCAGGGTTGTGGCTGCTCCTGACCTGAACCCCTTCTTTTCATGGTTTTGCTTCTCAAGCTCTTCACGGCAAACAAGATACCTTTGGGTTTCAGTTTTTTGTCTGACTTTTACTTCTCAATTGATCCCCAAAGGAGTAGGACTAGCACAAAACATATGGTGTTTCTAACCAGGGATACATGGGAGGGAGTTCTAGCTCTTGAAAAAGTGAGTGGCATTCTTGAAATGGTGTGGTTGCATTTATTTGGGTGTGGATATAATCATGTTTTTTGTGATACAGCTCCTGCTGAGTCTGAAATGCTAGTGTCAGTAAAGCCAGAAGGAAAGCCAGACAAAAGCTTGGAGAAAAGTCAGGATTTCAGTGCCTCTTACTGATGGTTCATGGGAAAGTAACGGTTTTGTGTTTAACTTTGATTTTCCCAAAGCACTAGGCACATGCTTTTTTTTTCCCCTCTGTGAATTACTGTTTGTGAAAATGTATTTTACAGCCCACAAAACATCAGAAACAGCTGATTTTTGTGCCTAGGTTTTACTCGTAGGGGTAGGTCCTTGTTACGGACCCTGGGTAGTCTAATGAAAGTGGTGTTTAACTACAAAGCTTCAATTTCTGCTAATCATGGCAGCCTGACTCCTGGTATTCCTGAATTCCCGGAGCTGAGGACATGCTCTCATCCCCCTGCTCTGCCAGTGCGATGCCTCCACCTTCTCCACCCGACACGTTTCTTAGCCTTGTGTAGAACTCAGCAGAGATTTCTCCATGAGGACTGGAATGTGTTTATATAATATTTTATATATTATTTTAGGCTCCTGCTACTCAAATGTAGGCAAATGATTAACCTCTCCGTCACCATCAGTAGACGAATCGCGGAATTGCCGTAGCAGAAAGTCAAGTAAGATGGGTCTAAACCAGCTTCTGTTTTTTCCTGCCTGGAAAATTCATCCTTCGTGGCTTTCTCAGCAAGTGTGGCTACCAAGAGCAGCTTTTCCAGGCCAGGAGTGTTTAGTGGGAGCACTGAGTTGTAACCACACTGGTCAAGCACTGGTTGGTGTGTAGGTTGAGGCTCTTCTGTGTGGGAGGTGTTGGGAGGGGGTTGATGTGAGAGGCTCCATCTCTGCAAAAGCAGGAGTAGGGCAGCAGCAGGAACGCTGGGCAAAGCTGCTGAAAAGGAGAGAACAACCTGCTGCACTAAATCACAGATCCCCTGGGGACACAGCTCTATGTTTAGCATCCTCAAATGGCATTGCTTTATTACGGCATCATTGAGCGTGGTCCTCTAGAGAGGAAGCAAACGGTCTCTAAAACAATCTGCTGGCAACTCGGGCTGGAGCATTTGAGGTTTTCCAGGGCTCTTCTGCTGTGTCACTCTTCCCTTTAATGTTCCAGCTCGAAGGTTGTTGTTCTTTCGCCATCAGAGTCCGTTTAGGCGCCGGTAAGAGTATCTGCTCCAAGGACAAGGTGTAGAAGGCAGTGAGAACAAGAGATACTGCAGAGCAGTGTTGTTTTTGGTGTAATCTGCCTTATCAGCATGTGATGCAAAGACAGGGCAGTTTTCACAGGACTTGGAGGCTGCGTGGTGACATGTTTTCTGTCCTGTATGAAATCCACCACGTTATTTTGATTAGAACACTAACGTAACTCCTGGCAGCCTCAAATCTTACTGCCAGCAGCTATTTCCCTCCAAAGCCCGGTGCAGTGCTAACAAGCAGAAGGATCTCTCGTGTGTCCTGTTTACGAGGAGCTCTGCAGACGGAGGTGTTCCGTGGGAGGTAACAAGGTAGCGCTGTAGCCGTGTATATAAGGTGGAAAAATGTTGTGTGTGCAGACAGGCTGTTGTGTTAATTTGTGTTTGATGGTGTTCAGGAACTCCAGCTGCAATAACGGCATGATGATGTTAAGTTCTTTTATATATAAACGTATATATTTTGTATCTGTGCATGCACATATATGTATATATATTTTTTGTCTCGTGGGAGAGTCCGTGTTTGGATCGTCGGTGCTTCAGCTGCTGCTGTACTTGAATGTGATTTTCTTATGTTTGTTCAGTTTTTAGGTGGCAGAGACACGGTGAAGCTCTGTGTGGGGCAAGGAGAGCTGATGGGGGAGCCTGGGGTGTGACCCAGGATGGATTGGCTGTGACGGCGTGCCTTAGCTGGAGAGGTAGTTACCATGAAGAGTTCCTGCAGAGCTGGCCTCCACAGGGAACCGCTGAATTCCACATCCTCCACCTTCCACCAGGTCAAACGGTATGAACAAACTGGCCTGCCTCTAGCTGACTATTCAGCACTGACTGAGCCTTCTCCTTGCTTTCCTATTGTCTTGTCACTCAACTGTTGGGTCTAAATTCTTCCTTTCGGATGGTGTTTAAGTGAAACGCTGTAATGGCTTAAGGGCAGAAATGTTCTTTTGACGTTTTTATTTGATAATGACAACTTCAGATTCCCTACAGCTGGCAGGGTGCTTGGAGAAATCCTTGGGTTTTTTAGCAACAGCTGTAAATTAGTTTGGGAACACGACTTTGAAGTAAAACTTAATTGGCGAGTGGCTCGTCAGAGGAGGCTTTAGAACACACAGTCAGCTTAGAGCAAGTGGAAATGCTGGCACTCATTGTTGCGGTTTGTCTTACTATGGAGTAAGTAATTAGATTAGTTTAAGCTCAGATTTTGCATTGCTCACTCTCCTGTGTCTCTTATTAAGAAGAAATGCACGATTGATTTCAAACACTTGTGCTTATGTGACAATTAAGTGAACGCCTCTCACTGTGTCTCGTTATAGGAACACCGGGCAGAACAACTTGTCCTTATGCAAATGCAAGAACATGCTGGTTTGTTTGAGTTCAGACTACTTCAAAATATATGTATCTTCTTTTCTTTTGCTTCTTTTTTTTCTGAAAGCAAGGCTCCTAAACTTCCTCAGCCTGGCGGAAGAGCGCCAGCTTTTCGGTTTCCAAAAACTGTGTGGGTTTAAAGCAAACTTTTAACCTTTGTTCTTTGTGGTTGTGTAGACAGCATATACTTGCTATGTTAGTCTCATGGTAATTTAGTGCTGGAAAAGACTTCCTGGGTCACCCAGCTCTTTGCTTTCCCAAGCAGTAGCTCATAATCCCTTTTGTGAACTTAGTCTAGCCTAAAAACATTTACATCTTTTCTTACATCTCTTCTTCTCTCCTCCAGTCTATTAAGCCATTACTGAAGATGACAGATCTAGCTGTGCAATTAGGAACCTTCTTTTGATTCCCAGACTAAACATTCATGACAGTTTACATGCTTATTTGAGTTTCTGTTCCTTTATTTTCCTTCTGCTTTTCTTCCCACTTCTTATTTTCAGTGGTTTACCTCTCTTGCTGCATTCTGTAAAATGGGGTTGTGACCCTCACCTGTGGTTTTGTGGTGCTAAATGACCCAAGTTTTCTCAAGTAGCTTCTTGAATAACAACTGTTGTTGTCCTCAGTGTGGATACATCTCAGTCCTGGCTAAAATTCTCTACTGTGCTCCAGGGCAGATCTGGCTGGAGGGTTTTCTTGCTGCTGCCTCAAACGTGTGACAGAGTCACCTCCACTTACTTGTTTCTATGGTGGCCAATTCACCTTAGTTACTTCCAGAACTCCTTGGTGTTCCTCTTGCTGGTGCATCACTGCCTGTATTTCAAAACCCTCCTCAGTTTCTGTGACTTGGAGCTTTGTGCCTCTGCTGTTTTGGAACTGCCTCCAGTTCTGTGGGTGCAGTATTTGTGCTGAGGTCATTCCTAACAAAATCAGATGTTCCCCAGGCTGATTCTTGAGGCATGTCTTTGGTTTCCAAGCTGGTATTTTCTTATTCAGCATCACCTGGGGCTGTCTGCTGCTAAGCCAGCTCCTTTGTCTGTTTTCCCATTCCTCTGCCAATCTGTCTTCACCAGTAAATCTCTTTGTGCTCTCTGAAGACCATGGGAGTAAGATATAGTAGATTTGTCTAAAATGATCACTTTTTTTTTGAAATCCCTGAGGTTAGTCTGGCATTTTGAAGTATTCCCTCTTCCCCCTTTTTCTCTGTGTCACATTAATCCTCTTTGCTTGCAAAGCACCTTTATATTGGAGTCAGAATACCAGCCCTGGAGAGGCTGCAATCATTCTCCCTTCTCTTTCTCCCCTGCAGTGCCCCCTCCAATGTGCCACATGTTTATTATCTCCCATTGTTGCCTTTCAAGAGGTTTATAAATCCTGTTTCTTGGCCTGCAGTGCGTGAGCCTATCTGTTTTGGATTCTAAAACTGAGATGAGCCAATCCTCACAATTTTTATGAAGCTCTTTAATCCTCCCCCTGCCAATGTTCTTGTTCAGATTAACGCCTGGGCTTTTGCCCTCACGATCGCAGTTACCACCCCTCTTTAAAAATGATGCAAAGTCAATTTTGGTATTTTGTGTAGCACTTGGAATACTCTTAATCTCTGCCCTGCCCTTGCTTGCAGCCCTTTTTCTCTCCCAGTCCTTTCTCACAAACTGAGGAACCTTTCACTATTTCTTTGTTTTTAAATATCTCTGCAGTGACCTAACGCTGCACCACTTCTCATGTTTATCCCTGGACTTTTTGAGCTCCGAGATACGAGTTTCTAAGTGATGTGACTTGAAACCTGCGTCTGCTTCTTGTATCCTTCACGAAAAAGGATCACATCCAGTTGGAGTTTCTTCAGTTCTTGTTTGGGATGTGTTCTTAATAATGAAAACACCTTTTGGCTCCTGGAGAAATCTGCCTGCAGTGAAATCTTCTGCGCCACATCTTGAACTTCATGAACCAGTTCCTTTCAGTCTTGAGTTTCAAAAGAGCAACCTTATGACTTGCTTTCAGATGTACTTTCACTTATTCTTTTCTTTTGAACGCCGAGTCTCCGACTGATCGTGTGGTCCAAGGTTAATTTCTACAACCTTTCATGTGTTCTCATTACAATATGCACAAAAATGAAGGCTATAAATAGCATCACTTTGTGTTGGTTCGTTAGCTGTTTGAAGAAATACATGTTGTGCTATGATGTGAAGAAAGGTCTTGGTCCTGTTGCTGTTAATAAATCAGAAAACAAATGTTAAAGTAAGAGAGGTATAAGACTTCCAGAAGGAAGCATGTCACGTATCTGTGCTGCTCTGGGCAGTTTTAAGCAGATCTATAAAACCACCACTGTTTCTCTTACTGTCCTTCTGTGATTTCTTCTCATCTCAGCCTGTTCCACCACAGGCACGTGGTTGTCTTTGAGCTACACGTTTCTGGAGCAGCTTATAACCTTGAACACCAAATCTGTCAGTTCATTTTGTTCCCTTCTGCTTTATGTCATCCCTGTGTCATCTCCAGTGTGGTTGGGAAGCAGGGAGCAGGGGTTTGAGGTTCCTGAGGCTCAACAAAGAACCGCTTCTACGTCACTCGCTTCACGGTAAGTGCTTTTATACAAAAGCCTGGCAAAGCAGTGGCACTTCTTCCTGTATAAACTTTAGAAAGTAGCCAAGTTGACTGTGCTTTACGTTGAAGAGTGTGTGGGTGTCTAGTATAAAATGTGTCCAGAACATTAATGGGTGGGAGCCCTCGAACTGGAGTGGTGTGTGTTGGGCTTGGGTGTGTGTTGTGTCACCTGAAACCTCTGTGTGGTGAGGATGTGGTGAGGATGATGGACTTCATGCCTGTGTGCAGCTACATTTGGGTGCTGTCTCCCCCAGAGTCAGGTTATTTGAACACCTGATGGGGTGAACACTCAGGTGTTTTCTTTGCATTCAGTTCCTCAGCTCTTTTGGGCCAGCTCTGCCCCACGTTTTTGGCTTGCTCCCGCTTCCCCCAGGCTGGCCACTTGGACAGAGAGCTCTCCCTCAGCAGCCAGATACCTTCTGTTTGCCTTCAAATCCCGTAAGAATCCTTGCTGGCTCTCTGAGAGATGCAAGAGGCATTTTGCAGGCGCTGGGAGGTGGGTCTGGAGCAGCTGCTGCTCCAAGGGAGTGGGTTTTCTAGAAATCAGATGCCTCCACAGCTGCCGGTGTCGAACCCGCCCCAGCTCCGGAGCGTCGTGCTTCCCAACCCGCCCTTCCCCGAGCTTGGACACTTGCCACGTGCCAGAACAAGCTCCAGTGAGCAGCAGAGCCTCTTCCATCCCGGCTGCTCAGCCGGGACTTTCCCGCCCCGGCAGAATCCGTGGAATGCCTTTGAAGCAGCTCTCTGTCTGCTCTGCCTTGCCCTGGCAGTGCAAAGGGGATGGAAATGGTACTGGAGATTGAGCCCAAAGGACCCACCAAGCCCTTCCAGAAATAACAAGTGGTTGACCATAGTTAACTCACATTCAGTGCTCAGTCCTTGCTAATTGTCAGTGTCCTTTACAGAGGAGCTGAGCCCTGTGGACAGAGAATGGCATGCCAGGGAGGAGAAAAGCCTTGCCAGAGGTTATGCTTGGTGTGGGTTTTTATTGTTGTTGATTTTTTTTTTTTTTTTTACTCCTTTTTTTATTATTTTTTTTTGGCTTCTTCTGCCTTCTGTTAGTGTGTCCTGAGGGTTTTTTCAGAGTTGTAGCTGGCACTGGGTGCACAGTCAGCAACGCAAGAAACTTTTGTCGACTGCAGTTGGTGTGTTTACAAGAAGAAATCCACAGGAAACTTGGGGGTTTTGATGGAAATTTTCTCCTTAACAAAACCTTCCGGTGCTTTGCCCAGAAAACTTGCAGTGTAAATATTCTGTTTGGAAATATTGTACTTTTTTTGTTGTTGTTCTTGCTGGCCAGAGGAAATCTTTTGGCTTCACAAGGGCATCATGAGAGTCCCTGACAGTGAGAGGCATTAAGGTTCTCTGTGGACCTCACAAAGGAGTTGTAAAAACCGAGCCTTTTTTTACCAGTTTTCCCTCCAACTTTGGAGTTACCACTAAAGCAAATGTATTATTTTTTTAGGCTGCTGTGATTTAGGACATATATAAGTACAAAAGGATGCAGGAAGATTCTGGCCAGCTTGGCAAGTAAGAATCATGGAATCATTTGGCTTGGAAGAGACCTCAAAGACCATCTCATTCCAACCCTTCTGCCATGGGCACTAGACCAGGGTGCTCCAAGCCCTATCCAGCCTGGCCTTGGACACTTCCAGGGATGGGGAGTCCACAAGTGGGTCTTCAGTGGGAAGAGGAGAGGGCTGTGTGTGTGTTTGTGCTCATATAAAGGAATATATTTCTGTATCAACAATGTGGATAACTAACTTGATAAAACTACAGTGGAAACAAGCTGTAGTTACGACTTAGGAAAACAGCAGTGTCATTCCAGCAGTGCAAGTATCCTGTTTTTCAGACATGGCTGATTAGAAATAAAAAAAACTGGCCCCTTTATTTCATCAGCTTAAGGATGGAATAACAGCATGAAGGCAGCACTGCTCGTTGTTTCAGTGCTGATCATTCCTGGCAGAATTCTCTCTTATCAGCAATTTCAAACCGCACGTTTGGGATTGAAAACCTTTTTATGTGTGCTCTGTGGACTTCTGAAGAGTCATTGTCTCTAAAGATAAAATTAGAAAGCTTGATAACTTAAAGGGCGGAGGAAAGCAAACAGAATTATTCTGGAATTAAGTTTCATAGGGAATTGTCAGTGACTTCACCTTTTAGCAACTATTTTTGGTGGTTTAAAATATTTAAAAGCTTTACCTGCAGCTGCCACAGTTCTCCACTTGCCAGCACTGAGATGTTGCAGAAATAGGGGAGTCTGTGGGTGGGGACTGGGCTCTGGTTCATCTTCAAAGCCATTTCTGCTGGGAAGGCTTGTTCTAATTCTAGGAGCTAGAGATGAAATGTGCTGCTGACGTGCAGGGAAGAAGCTGTGTTTGCCTAAAAGTTCGTTCTGAATATCCACAGCAAAGTGCGTGTGAGGTGGGGGCTCGTTTTTTCCAAGTGCCACTTTCAGGTAAGGTCCATTACTAAGATCCCTTTTAAAATGGAAGTTCTCTTCCCTGCTGCTGGAAAACTGCGAGGCAGGTGACAGCTGGTCAGGTGGAGTTTGCAGTGTTCTTTTATAGCTGTCTGAAGTTATTAGATGAAGATTTTCTTTAAATCCAGATCCATTAGAACGTGTGCAATGAACTGGGTGCTGAATTCAAATGAGGCAATTATTCTGGCAGTAAAACTTCTGAGTAAGGCATAATTTTGTTATGTAAATTATAACTTTTCAACCTTAAATGGTATTGTTGGCTGAGCCAGGGACTAACTGAAACACAGGAGGAAATATAACCTTAAACAAGAAATCTGTGATAGGTGAGGCAGAACTCTACCCTTTGTCTTTCTCCGTAGACCAGAAATAGCTGGGAGCAGCTGAACCAACTTTGCTGGCTAAACGTGTCCCCTGAGCCTGTTGGGGTAACCAGTTTGGTCCTGTTTTCATTCTTATAATACCTGGTCTCACCTTCATTTGCAGCTTCTCTTAATAAAGGGTGTTGAGCCGATTGTCCTCCCGGATTCCTGAAAACTGCTTGAAGAAAGCCTTTTATGAACAAGCTCAGCTCATTTTTCAAACACCTTGGCATGAGAACTCATGAATGAAATTTGATCTTCTGCTCCTGGCTCAGGAGACTTCAGCATGCAAATCTTGTATTTAATTGCATTCACCTCTTCTCCCCAGGGAACGGTGGCGGGCGGCCACCGGAGCTTTTTGTCTCTCTCTAATCTGGGAAGCACAGCTCCAGAATGTCCTTCTGGAAGGGAAGGGAGGGCTGCAGGCACTGTTCCCTGCAGCAGTTTGCTGCAGTGCTTCACCTGCTGCTCCTCTGGGCCGGGCTTTGGCCGGGGCGCATCAGGGGCCTGACCCTGCTTTGCTAAAGTGCAGACAAAATGAGCCAGGCCCTGTGGAAAATGAGGCCGGAGCAAACTCCAGCAGCCTTGATCTTCCATATTCTCTTCATGCATCTGTTTCAGCACCCTGAAGTTCTATTTTTGTGAGATTATTTCAGCTTTTAGCATCCAAGTGGAGAGGCAAACAAAATAGCTCAGTCGCGTTTTGCAGAGGAGACTAAACTGGGAGGTGACCCAATTCCAACGAGCTGGAATTAGCAGGCAGGAGGCACAGGGAGAGAATTAACCCAGGAACTAGGTAGGTGTATCTGCAGCACTGAGATCTCGTACCCCCACAGTCTGTAGGTGAGATGCAGATGGTTTTGGCGCTGTCTGGTTGCAAGAATGAGGTGATGGTTTTCCTATAAAATCCAGAGGGAAAGAACGTAGGATAGCATCATCCTTTCCAGGGTCTGCTTCCTGGCCTTCAATGCACTGTGTGGAGCAAAGGGGCACAGAAAGGTAAACTAAGCCCTTCCTCTTGATATACCTCCCCCAAGCCCCTATGCCTGCCCCTCACTTCTTATCACTAGGGCCAGAGGGAAATATCCAGGGAAAGCAATGGTTAAGCAGCATGGCTGCTCCTGGTGCTGGAGGCTTCCTCCGCTTGGGCAGCATCAGCTGTAAATTTGTCAGACTTTGTAGATGTTGTGCCATAAGGTTTTTAATTAAAAGCTGTTTTTAGGCTACAAATGCAGTGCTTAAGCAACTGTCTTGGTGGTAGCTCTCCGGGGAAACGTGTTCAGTGCCTGAATGTGTCCGTATCGGCTCCTGATGGATGTGGCATTGAACCTGCTGCTCCTCAGCTAGCAAGCACAGATTATCCCCATTTCAAAGTGGAGGCCTTTGAGTGTAACAATTCAAAGATTACCATGGAAACATAATCTATAGTTAGTTCTGTAATATGCTTCTGTGATACTCCTGGGAGAAGAGCCTGGAGTCTCCTGATGATTGCACCCTGTGTGGCAGCGCCCCGGGCTCTGAGCTTTGAATGGAAGGTGACTGTGAGGGTGTGACAGAACGGAGGAGTTGAGTGCTGCAGGAATGCTGCTGCTGCAGTGTCAGCAGCATCCAAGTGGTCCTTCACAGCTCTTAAATTCCTAACCATGAAAACATGTCCTTGAGAGTGGGTCTCTTCAGCTGTACGTGATGCTTCTCTCGCTTTTGGGGGGGGGGGTATCTGATGTATAATGTAAGGACCCTTATGAGAAAGTCACCAAATTTGCCATTATCAATATTCTAAAGGGTAAGTTTCATTGCCCAGGGAAGCTGTGGCTGCCCCACCCCTGGAAGTGTTCAAGGCCAGGTTGGACGGGGCTTGGAGCAACCTGGGATGGTGGAAGGTCTCCCTGCCCATGGCAGGGGGGTGAAACGAGGTGGTTTTTAAGGTCCAGCTCAAGCCATTCAGTGACTTTGGGTGGTACTAGGAATTTAGATACCCACTGGGGTCTCTGGTGAACGTAATTACACTTGCTAATTTCCCTTTTCAGCTTTAACTGTACTTTATCTGGACATCCACTATCAAATATACTCTTTTCAGGAGACAAACTCCATGACCCACGTGTACCTTACAACTAACTGGATTAAGGAACGAACGGGCAGAAGGATGCCTCTAACTCTAGAATGAACCACTGGCTATGTTTTCACAACTGATAAACTCCAGGATTTCTCCTTGCAACAGATTTATCTAATGGGAAGTTCTCTTCTCCTGCAGGAAGTTTTCCAAGGGTGGATGTTGGAGATTTGGTTGCTGTGTTTTCCTTTCTCATGTGGTTCTTCTTGAGGTGTGGGATGCTGCCTACCCCGGGCCACCTTCTCTAATTCCAGACAGACATATTTTGCAACTATAACTTCTCCCCTTTCTGTTTTTCCAGGGTCTCTGGTATGCACTTAAAGCCATATCTCAAGTTACAGAAGAAAGAGCGATCCCCAGAAATAAGCCAGGATTCCCTGCGAGGCCACCAGGGATCAGCACAAGGAGAAAAATACACCACCTGCACCAAACTGAGCGTTTTCCCAAAACCCTCCCTCGTGACTCCATCTCAAAAGCTTCTGGGGATTATTTATCCAAATATTATGTGCAATATGAACGGGAAAGGTCCAGCGGATGGCCCAAGTGCAAGGGAAAAGAAGAACGCCCTGTCGGCGACGATCCACCAGGGAGAGGAAGGGGAAGGGCCTCTGGATGTCTGGGCCGTGGTGAAACCTGGCAACACGAAGGAGAAAATTGCCTTCTTTGCGGCCCAGCAGTGCAGCAGCACCAGCCGGGTGGGCTCCATGAAAATCAAGAGCACGTGGGACATCGACGGGAGGACGGCCAAGCGCAGGAAAAAATCGGTGGACCTCAAAAAAGCCAAAATCCAACTGGAAAGGATGAGGGAGGCCAATGCCAGGTGCTCCCAGCCGGAGCCTTTTGCCTGTGGCATCGAGCACTGCTCGGTGCACTACGGGAATGACAGCGGAGAGGGGGCGTTCCCGGGCCGGTCCCTCTCGGTGATAGAGATGGTGGCTTTCCTGGAGCAGCGAGCGAGTGCTTTGCTGGTGGATTGTGCTAAAACCTGCACGGCTGCCCCTGCCACGAGGCCGAGCGCTCAGCCCAGGGGGGCCCTTCCCAGCTCCGACCCTTTTTCCTCGGCCGGGGCGTGCGAGGTGCACGCGGAGCAGCAGGGCGAGCCCGTGCGCGTGCTGGACATGGTGGCCAAGCTGGAGTCGGAGTGCCTGAGGCGCCAGAGCGAGCGGGAGGCTGGGAGCCTCTCCCGGAACAACAGCTTCCGCAGAAACGTCGGGAGGGTGCTCCTGGCCAACGGCACCCAGCCCGAGGGAGAGGCGGGGAAGGGGGTGCCGGGGGTTCTGGCTCAGGGGGATGGCTTGGGGGAGGCGGGGGTGGCAGAGGCTGGATACAGAGGTCGTTGTGGTGCTCTGGGTGACGCCGAGTTGTGGGATGGCGGCGCCTCTGCTCGGCGGCCTTTTCCTTCGGGGCTGGATACCCGGATGGGGAATGTGAATTCGGGACTTGCTCACGCGGTGCTGGCGATGGCAGCCGGCAGGAGCGACACTGAGACACGGATTGAGCCTCCCAGAGCTCTGCTGTCCTCGTGTCCAGCTCCTGCTGCCAGGCTGCCACCGGATCCCTTGCAGAGCAAAAACGCGACTGTTGATTGTACGTCGAAGGAGCCTGTGATTTTCCCAAAGCAGAGCCTGCATCCTGCGAGGAAGGAGCCCTTGTGCATCAGTATATCCGTCACCAAGACTGAGAAAGGGTGCAGGAAAGAGAAGCTCTCCAACTCCACTTCTAGTGAGGATTCGCTCCCGGGGAGGCTGTTTTTCCTCCAGGACGACCAGCCTGCTGCTCATGAGCAACAGCCACTGCGGGAAAGTACCCAAGAGAAGCCAGGAGAAGTAGCCCAGAATGAGGATGAGGATGCTTTGGCATCCGGCAGGTTGTGTGTCAGGAGCAGTGTCCCTACAGAGCCATCGGCCCCCTCTGTCCCTCCCGCAGAAGGGGCCTTGCAAGTACTTGACGCTTCCTGCCTGAAAAGGCAGGTCTCGCATGACTTTCTGGAGACCAGGTTTAAAATCCAGCAGCTTCTGGAGCCTCAGCAGTATATGGCCTTCCTGCCTCACCACATCATAGTGAAGATCTTTGGGTTGCTCCCTACCAGGAGCCTGGTGGCCCTGAAATGCACTTGCTACTACTTCAAGTTCATCATCGAGTACTACAACATCCGGCCGGCGGACTCGCGCTGGGTCCGGGACCCCCGGTACCGGGAGGACCCCTGCAAGCAGTGCAAGAAGAAGTACGTGAAGGGGGACGTGTCGCTGTGCCGGTGGCACCCCAAACCCTACTGCCAGGCCCTGCCCTACGGGCCTGGCTACTGGATGTGCTGCCATCGGTCCCAGAAGGGCATCCCGGGCTGTAAGTTGGGTCTCCACGACAATCACTGGGTCCCCGCCTGCCACAGCTTTAACCGCGCCATCCACAAGAAGACCAGAGGAGCGGGAGCCGAAGTGGAAGAGGAATATTAGTGCACATACACTTTTCCTGCAAGATTGTTTGGGGTAGGAGGAGATTCTCATGCCTTGTGCTGTTTACAGTGTATATAATTGTCGTGGTTATTTTTTTTTTTGTTTGTTTTGTTTTGTTTTCCACAGGGCTATGAAACTGCACATACTCAAACACAAGAGCCTTTACCTTTTAGATTAAAGAGAGCTTTTAGTCTATCTCTGTAAATAACACTATAAAAAAACCCCTAATTGTACATACAGAGTCTACAGCTGGCTGAACAAGGTAACCCCCTACAATGCAGCTATCCCAGTGTTGCGGCTATAGGTGTGTGTGTTTTTAAGTGTCTTGTTTCAAAATCTGTATATTCCGCATAATATATGAATGTTTCTGAGAAGAAACTCTAAATAGGTAAAGGTCAACTTGTTTAAAGAAGCTGCAGACAACTTAACTGGACAACCTGAAACTTAGACTATAGAACAGACCCATTATAGTAGCGTGGCAGTGGATTTAAAAATAAAAAAAAAAAAGAGATGAATATTATTGTATAGTCAGAATATAAAAAAAAAATTCTTGTCTACCTTACCCATGTTGTCTGGTTTGGTTTTTTTGGTTTTTTTTTTTGGTTTGTTTTTTTTTTTTTTTTACATGAATAAAACGTGCATTCTAGATCTGCCTTACCAGACTTTCTCTTGTAAGACTTTTGCCCCGAAATAAAAATGCTGTAAAACACGTGGCAGAAACTTGGTGCTGTGCTGTAGTTCAGACGTGCAGTGAGCTTCCTCTGGCAAACCTGTCCTACTAACAACAGAACAAAAAACCCACCCCCAAATCTCTATTCCTTGGAGAACTCCCTGCTGTAACATTCACAGATTCCAGCTTTTCCTTTCCTTCCTGTCAGCCCTGTGTGCAGCAGAGGCTCCTGTTGTCGGGAATTCTGGTGCTAGGTGTGTAAAGCTTGCAAAAACAGGGACTTTCTGGTCATCTTGCTTCTTGGCTCTTGTGTGGGCACCCGCCTTGTTCCCTGGAAGCTCCAGGACAAGACCCTGGGTCCAGTAGGATGGATGTGGAGTTGCCTTGGCTCTGTGATGTGCTGGAAGCTTTGCCGTCTGCTCTATGTGGAGTTTGTCCCTTTCAACAGAAATGCTTGCAGTGCTTCGCCCTGCTCTGCTGCAGCCTCTGGCATCTCATTCCTTGGGTGTGAGTCGGTGCTTTCCAGGGGAATGGTGACGGTTTGTGTTGGGTGAACAGCGATTGCTCAAACGGGGAATGGGAGCGGAGCATGGCATCTGTTGCAGTATTTCCCTGAATACATTCCTCTCCTGCAATGCTGTGATCCAGACTCCAGTTACACCCCTCTGAGGGTGAGTGGTTTGGAAATCTGGGAATGGACCCTGGACAATCCACGTTCAGCTCCTGGGAGCTGAGTCAGTGGAGCAGCAGCCCTTTTTCCAGGGAGCCAAACGGAGCGTGGCAGCTGTGCCTTTGCACTGTCCAAGTCCCTTCTCTCCCCACACTTGGTGCTGTTTCTCTGCCCCTTCTCAAGGCATGGATGGACTCCTGGACCATTCCAGCTGGAGCAGCCAGAATCTCTGACCTGGTGCAAGAAGAGCCAGTGCCACCTTCCTACGGGGCTCATCCCAGGCCTTCCTCTGCCCTGCAAACCCCAGGGGGCACCTGGAAAGGGCAGGAGTTCTGGATGAGGTGGCCCTGCCCCTGGCTCATCCTGTTGGCAAGGTGTGGAAAACTGCTGGCTGTGGGGGCCAGGCTGAGCTTCCCACCTCCTTCCACTTCAGCTGCACTGGGATCACATGGAGCGACTCACCTGGTTCCGGAGCGAGGACAGAGAGGGTTTGAAGGCGGATGCTTTTATTCTTTCCCTTAACTGTGAGAGAAGGAAAACCGAGCCCTTGCAGCCTGATGAAGTGTGGGTTTGATGAGCTCAGGGAGATTTAAAGGATGTGCTGGGTTTATTTTTTGCCTTTACCTGCTCCTGCCACCCCGGGCATCAGACACCCCTCCCTGGCTGCTCAGCCTCCCTGCGCTGCAGACATGATGACAACCACGAGGAATGAGACCAGGAATCTAAGAGGAGGGTGCGGCCCTCCTTGTAATCGGCTGGGAAGAGGGAGAGGAAAAGCAGGATCCCTGGTTAATCCGTGACTTCATCCCATAACGGGGCGCAGGCTTCACCCAAACTTCCATCTGCTCCCCCCGGATGAGCAGCAAAGCAACTGCCAGGCTGTTGTTTGGCCAAAGCCATCGGCATCAAAGGCCTCCAGCTTGATTTTGATTAAGGGAAAGGGGAAAGAAGCTGCTTTCCTGCCCCCCACCCAAGACTCTGGAAAACTTGAGGCTGAGTAGCAGTGAGGAAAGTCCCTGCGAGGCTGGAACAGAGCGGCAGAGGAAAATATTTTGTAATTAGATAAGGGGCCAGTGAGGTCATTTTTTTTGGAACAGAGTGTGAGATTTTGGTCACCTTTGTTGAACAAGGGGAAAAACAAGAATAAAATATCATTAGGCTATTTTGTTCCTTGGAACAGGTAAATCTGGAGGACAACTTGTTATCTACCCTGCCCCATCCCTGCCCTCCCCCTGAGGTGGCTGGGGAGCGTGGGCTGGTTTATACATCATTTATTACATTGTTTGCTGGAACTGTCCCTGTTGCACAGCATTGCTGTTAAAAATTGTTTTGCAGAACAAGCTTTTGCATCCAGATGTGGGTTGGTTCTGAGTGTTGCCATGCTGAGCTGTCTGCAGGCTTTTTCTTTCCTAAAAAGTAGTAAAGTGCAAATTTCTGTTTCCTTAACGGATGGTTCAGGGAGAACCCAAGGTCCAGTGAACTTTTTTGTTTCCTACGAGTCAATTAAAACAACAATCCAGTGTTGGATTTACAAAGTTCAGTGTTTAGAACTGAGGATGAAGGACTGCACCATGTGCTTGACTTCCCTGCCTGGGAGCAGTTGGAGTGTCTGGACTGAATTTCCAGATATGCCAGCGAAGAAGTTGTAATAACATTTCTATTGTCTGTGAGCTTCCAGTTTTCATCAAGCTCTGGGACTCTCCTGGCATGGACGCCACAGAAAAAGCTGCCCATGGCTGAGGCTTGTGTTTGGGCTCTTGCTCCATCCTGGCTGTTCCTGCAGCAGCTTTTCCCTTTGCTGTGTCTCTGCTCCCTGGGATGAGGTGCTGAGATGCTGCAGTGGAGCTCAGGGCACTTCCTGCAGTTTCTGCCCCTATGGCAGCCCCTGGAACTGTCATTAGGGCCACGGAGATGCTCTAAGGGCTGGAGCACCTCTATTATGGAGAAAGGGTGGGAGAGCTGGGGGTGTTCAACCTGGAGAAGAGAAGGCTCCAGGGAGACCTTAGAGCCCCTCCCAGTGCCTAAAGGGGCTCCAGGAGAGCTGGAGAGGGACTTTGGACAAGGGCCTGGAGGGACAGGACAAGGGGGAATGGCTTCAAACTGACAGGACAGGATTAGACGGGATATTAGGAAGAAATTCCTGGCTGTGAGGGTGGGGAGGCCCTGGCACAGGTTGCCCAGAGAAGCTGTGGCTGCCCCATCCCTGGACGTGTCCAAGGCCAGGTTGGACGGGGCTTGGAGCAACCTGGTCTAGTGGAAGGTGTCCCTTCCCATGGCAAGGGGTTGGAATGAGATGGGCTTTAAGGTCTCTTCCAACCCAGGCCATTCTGGGATTTCACACCTGCACAAAACTGCACTTAAACATCCAACCTCTCTCTCGAGTCCCACTTCTCGCAGAGTGGGAATGGTGCTGAAGCCTCACCCTGGGCTGTTTCTCTTCCCAGCCTGCCTTTGGCTGGTCCAGGCAACCATGGAGTAGGGACAGGACTCAGGGCATTATCAGGCTGCTCTCCTGCCACAAACCAGTGTGGGCAGAGGACAAAACCTCCTGCTGCTGGCCCTGCTTAAGCAGAGCTGACCTGAACATCCCATAGACATGATCTGAGCTCAAAGCCAGGCTTGGCTTTGCCCATGGGCAGAACTGACTGTGCTGTCACTGAGGCAACAACCTGCCCCCAGCTCTGTGTGCAGGAACCCCAGGTGGCTGCTGCTCCCACTCCTGAGTGTGCAGCAGCCAGGAATCACAGGGCATCAGTCCTTCCCATCAGATACATCACAAAAAATCGAGTGGGAGGGGTTGGTTTTCCTCCATCATTCAGCAGCCTGTAACCCATAGGCTGCCAGGCCACCACGGCCCCAGGGCAGAGCCTGCTCAGCCCTTTCCCATCCCTGTTGCTCAGACACTCACTGCCTCACTTTAACAATTACATCCGTAAAAAGCCACATCTTGCATCCTGAAATGACCTTGCAAGGAGGAGCATCCCCCTTTGCACGCAGCAGGAATTCAGCACCTGCAGAAACAAACGTCACCCAGCACACGAGCAGCCCCGAGCCAGGCTGAGAGATTTACCCGTTTACATGTACATAGAGGGATGTGTGTGTGTGTGTTGTGCAGGAACCTGCCTCCTGCTCCCCTGGAGATGCAGTTATTTTATGTAAGAGTATTTTTTTAGAATGGGTATTGCTTATTCCACCGCTGTACGACTGATTGCACTGTAACAGGTCTGGTCCCTGTGATGCTTTGAAGGCTGGAAATTCTTGTGTACTTTCACCCAGCATGGTGAAAAACAGACCACACAGAGGTAACAGTTATAAATATACAACTTTAAAAAAAAAAAAAAATTACTGTTAAAGATTTATTGCAATAATACAATAAAATTTAGAAAAAAAAAACAAAAACAAACCAACAACCAAACCATTTGTGTTCAGTTACATCGGAAGTTGCGGAGAGAGGCCGTGAGTTTTCGCAGGTGAAAAGCCACCCCTGGGTGTCCCATCTGAGACCCTTCAAAGGCACCTGATTGGGGCTGGGCACCCAAAATCAGGCCCTTCCTTGGCAGCTCAAACTGGCCACCCCAGGTCACTGGTCACGGCCAAAAGTCACGGCCTGAGCTGAAATTCCCGTGTTCGTTCATGCTACGCAAAGTGTTTTGTAAACTCTCAGCTGGCTGCCTTCAAATATCTATAACTACAGATATTCCTGCCCTCCCTCCCTCCCCAAACAACCTGGAAAACGGTGATTGCACTCAAGGTTTGGACACACACAGTTCTCCCTCAGCTACACATGTGCAAAACACTTTTAAAAAAACCGCCACAACTTTTGTGTTCTGTTACAAAAAAAGCCTTCCGTGGAAAGCCCCACCCCACCACGTTTGAACACCCTCACCGTGCCCTTGTGCACTCTCAGAACGTGACATGGCTGTGAATAAATTATTCTGGAAAACATGGATAGGAAGTATATGGCTTAGAAAAGTTACTGTGTTGGATTTTCTTTCCCTAAGTTCATTCAGTGTACGAAGCTGAGTCATGGCCTGACCTTTCGGGGCTCGAAGTAGCACAAAGGCAGCAACGAAAGAGGGACTGAAATGCCTATGAAAAACAAAAAGAAACACAACCAAAAAGGTATTTAGATGGCAGGGTCCAGTGCAAAATAAATGAGCCAGAAGGGGCTGCACAGTATGAGCCCAGTAACCCATACTGTTGTGTGCTGGTTGCTCAGAGCTGCAAAGGATCCAAGTCATAAAGTGCCATGAGCCAACAGTGCCCAAACCCCCTGGGCCCTGATCAGGCTCCAGTAGTCAAGGGAGCCTGGGCTATTCTCTTCAAACAAACCCAGCTATTAGACCAAAAGAGCGGCAGGAGCGAGGGTGTTGTCCTCTAACAACATGTCTGTGTTGCTAGTGTGGAGTTAAGGGTCTTTGGTTCAAAAAAAAAAAAAAAGGAAAGAAAAATTAACTACTGACAACAGATGTCCAGCCCCAAGGCCAAAGAGAAAGAGCTGCCATACAAGGGATGGGGAGGGGGGGGAGACTCAGTTGGAACCCCCCATGTGGGGTACGGGGCAGAGTGGCAGAAACCCTCCCTCGAGCAGGGAGGGGAGGATGCCCTTACCTTGGTTGACCCTGTGGAGAAAATGTCCCAATCCTAAATGTAAACTGCACATTGGGAGTCCTGCTGAGCAGCCCTATCCATGAGTGCTCCATCCCACAAGGCAGAGGAAGGGGAGGAGCACTTGTCCACCAACTCACCTGTCGGCACATCCCACCTCCCGTGGTTTCACCAGCCAGCTGCACCAGGGAAATGAAATCAAACTTCTTGGCATTCAGTAAACAAACCCCCCCCCCCCCCAAAACAAAGTAGAACAGGGTTAAAAACACATGTAGTGTGGAGAGCGTGTGACTTCACCAAACTGGCTTGAAATGAGGTTTTTCTAATGCTGAGAAGTGGCAAGAGGGTGTCGGAACGGATGGATATTATTGCAACAACACAATCCTGGATCAGCATCGAATGTGGGTCTAGCGAAGAGAACGTCCAGTGTTTCTTTGGTGTATGATATTAAGAGTAAAGAGCCTGTGTGCCTTGGACAGCACAACACGAAACTTCTAGAACACCTACCAGTGGAAACAGCATGAAACAAGCCAGTTTTTCTACGGCAAAACTGGGTAAAAGATTCACAACCGAAATCTAAAACAAGAGCAACTTGCTGTGTGAATTCCCTGCCCATGCTGATTCTTTGTATTAAAAATATGGCAACAGAGATTAGAAAACATGTTAAAAATGCATAATTTTCATGTCCTGAATGAAAAAAATTTAGAAATACGCATTTCTGCATTATGCAAGACAGATTTAAAACACACACACACAAAGGAAAACCCTGTAAGGAGTTAAGAAAGTGGGAACTGCATTTGCACCACTGTCCAGACCGCGCCCTGAGCAGCCTCCTCTGCGCCCATCCCGATCCAAATGCTCCAAAATCTGTGTCTTCTTCAGAAAGTAGAACTGGAGGTTGCTGGGTCCTTCGATATTCAATGCAGACAGAACCAAGACACCAAGTGCCCTCAGAGAATCCGTCAGGAGCTAATTTACAAAACGGGTCCGTCACAGTCACCTTGGGTAAATAAAAAGGTGTGGGGTTTTTTTTTTTTCGGTTTACAAAACGAAAGTCCTTGACCTTTTCTTTGTTCCAGGCACTACTTAACTGAATATGTAAGGTTTCCTACAGCACTGTCGGGGAGGGGTTCCTTCCACAGCTCCTGTGCCCCTTTGTCCCTGGTTAGCGGTGCCCGGTGTAGGCCTTGAACCACGAGGTCACCGAGGCGGCGGCCGACGAGATCATCCCTCCGGCGCTGCTGCTGGCGATGGGCTGGGACACCTGGGTGCTCTGGCTCTGCAGCATCTCCACCTGCTGCGAGGGGATGTCGCAGAACCTGGGGCTCGGCAGGTTCTCCCAGTCTGTGCCCAGGTCCGTCTCCTCGTCGCTCACGTGCTCGTCGCCGCTCTCGTCCGTCTCGCCGGCGGCGCTGGGATCCACGAACTCCATGGAGTCCTCGAGATCAGCGCTGATTTCGAAAGGCCCAGACCTGCGAACACGGACACAGTGAGCCCTAGGAATGCCACAGCTCTGTCACGGGTCCAGCAGAGAGATCAAACACCCCTGGTCTGTATCAGCTGGCGGAGAAACTCACTGGTTGCAGAGCTGTGTTAGGACAGTGGTGAAACAAAAACACTTGGCCAAGGAAGGGACAGGGTTCCAGACCACAGAGCAGGAGCCTTTCTGCTTTGGCAGGGATAGTGGAACACACACTAGTGATGATAACTCAGAGCTCCACTGGTGAGAATCTCAGCTTGATGTGGAACAGCTTTCATTTCCAACACTAGCCCTGGCCAGGTGAGATGGCTCAGCTCTGTCTCTCTAACTTAGGAGACCTGGCACAACTCACTAGTGGAGACTTCTCACCTCCCCCTGAGCAACACCTCGACACCTTTTTCACTGTGAGACTGGTCAAACACTGGAACAGCTGC